TACAGTAGTATGGTTTGAATCCCACTGCAACCAACATTAATTAAATTCTGCAGCAACACTTGCACTCACGGAACTGTCTGATTACAAATAAAATATTTCAATGACTGGGGAACGAAGGTAACAAGAACTGAGCTTGTTTGTTGGGAATTGGAAATATTATAGTCCTTCCTTTGTAGATACTTAGCTTTCTTCTCAAATGAGACACTGACCAAAAAAGTTTTGAAGCCTGTCAGACAACCGCATGACCATCTCAGCCACCGAAGCAGCTGAGAACGATCCTCTATAGCTAGAAGAACCACATCTAAGGATCTCCAGCCATTAATCACGCTCTGATCACACGGTCCTGGTTCATCCACCAAGCTTTGGTTACCGTCTCCTTTTTACTCAAGGATAAGGTGGTACTTCCCTATAGAACAGATCCTGTTCAAGTAAGGTCGTACCATTTACACTATCTCAATTGTACAAACAGTGTTTCAACGCCTGTCATTTAGTCGATGTGGGACTAAAGTATTGGCAGTTCATGCCTGCAGAAAAATAAGCCGGTTTGTTATAAACTTATAATAGTCCCACACTAGTAGGGAAGTGTTATGTTTTTTTATTTTTCTGATACTGCGTTTGTGCGTAATACCGAGCAATGAAATCACTAGCGCACCAATTCTGATGCTGATGATCAGGGGAAAATTGCGCACATGAGCTCACTTTTTAGGACTGCTTTCCTCTTATCCTCTACAGTCTACATACATACAGCTTTAAATTTTTTTGGGTACACAACAGGGACGAGGTCAAGAAGGAAGTGTTTGCTTGCCTGTGGAACTGGATGGCGATGAACGAACAGAGAGCCGATCACCACTACAGAAAGCTAACATTGGAGTGGGAATTCAATGTATATGCTACAAGTAATTGGTTAAACTATCTCTGCGTTCTTGTAAGGGTTTAGGGTCTGATATTTAAAACAATTCTTGCAGTATAACATATCTTGGAATACAAGATTGTAAATTGAAATACACTTCACTTTTGTTGAAGGAGACAACAAGAATGTAAATTACCAATTAAATTAATTATAGTACAGTGATCGATCAACCAGCAAATTTAAAAAAAATAAAAATAAAAAAATAAAACAAGATGGCAATTGCTGATTAACCTCAATTTCTTATCAAGGGGGGAATGTCAAATGCAAATTATAGATTGAGCATTAAGATGCGCAAAGTAAGAGAAAAAAAAAAAGAATAAATTAAACAAACTTTCTATATGGTGTATGTAGGTTCAACAAATTTATAAAAGGGTTATTGTTTGTATAATAAATTCATATAAAAACACAGCTTATAGATTACAGACATCATAAAAATGAATACTTCCAATTTTTGCAAAAAATAAAATTTCTTCAATAAATCTTCAAAAGCTACAATAATGGTGATCCATAAAAAAAATTTAAAACTATAACTTATACAAGAAGAAGTTTAAGACATCCCACAAAGCTTCTTATCTTCTTCTCTCTTCTTGTTGTTGTTATTGTTGACTTGTTGTGGTAAGCAAGGCTCCTTATCCTGCACCATTCATGCAAGCAAATTAAGGATAATGTATTAGAGACTACAACACGTGAGAGAACATGCAAAAAGGCCTCAACTGCTTCATGATTTTCAGCAAAAATCTGCACAAAAGTTTGTTATAGATACGTAGTCACATAAAGTAATATTTGTACCACTAACAACATACAATACAAAAAAAAAATACAATATTATCACCAACATCATCATCATCTCTACCAACACCATTATCACCATCTGTGATCACTCATAATAGAACCAGCACCCCTCTTGTTGGAAATGAACTTCTATATGAAGTATCATCCATCTTTGAGCCAACATCATTATCATCACAGATCTAGCATGAGAAAATGAGGGAGATATGTAGCCAAAGACCACTTGCCGGTATACTTCTATAGCTAGCTAAATGAACCAACTTTCACAAATCTATTAATAGGAAAACATTTTCTTTTACTCACCAAAAGATAAAACCATTTCTTCCTTCCATGGACAAATGTAGCACTGAGATACCTCTATAAGCTAACTAGAAGAGACTTCCCATGTTTATTTAAGATTACTAAGATGACCATTAATTAATGCAAGCTTTAAGAAAAATGTTTATGGAATAGAGTTTAATTTGCCGGCAAGTCATCCTTGGCTGCAAAACATGGCCTCATCCCCACATGCAAGAACTTAGATGAAACATTATAGGTAAGTTCCTCATCATTCACGCACAATCATGTAATCAGTAATCTTTCCATGTTAAGGCAAAAAGACAATCCAACCAATCTAAATGCAAGAAGCATGATGACCTTATGACTATTATTACTTAAAGAAGGAAGATAATATTCTGTGCAAAAACATAGAAATAAAACATCTCCTATTTATTCTAACACTACTTAAAGACATTATCCCAAAGAAGAAATCTGGAAGAATTGAAACAGTAACAGGTAGAGAAGAAGAACCCCATTGGTTTTGAAAACACTTTGACAGGCCATCAACAAATAGGAAACTAGGAGACATGGAGAAACACAGAGTATGTATGTTTGCTTTATAAAGAGTCGAAATATTAGTTTACAACAGGCTAAGATCTATAAGGCTTGAACCTTTATTGGGCAATTCAATTGTAAGATTTCTGACCAGAGGGTATTAAAGAGAAGAAGTAGCTTAGAGTGTGCTTTGAAGGCTAGAGCTGCTTGGATTTGACAGTGCATTGGGTGTTAAAACCGAGAGACATTAAGGCCTAAGGATCTGTTACTATCACTATAAAGCTTGTAACCTATTAATAGGAAGAGCCCCAAAAGTTATGTAACCATACATGTGTTGCCGAGTTAAAAAGATTTGAAATCAACGGCTAAGAGCAAGGAATGAGGGGACAGTGGTGCAGTAAATTTCAAAGGCATTGAGACAGTATGTTCAGCAGCCTGTACCACCCATAATCAATAATTAAGTGATGAATCTACATCTTGTACTGGTAATATTTTTTTTCAGACCAAAAAAATATTAATTAAAGAAAAAGGTGAGAGTTGGTTCAAAGCCTTAATTTCAAGTTCAGATATAGGCACAGTTGCACACCTCATACTGCCAACGTAGAGACCAAAATTTGCATTACTCTTTATTTGATACAACGTACTTTAAAACCCACCAAAAAACTGTTAACTTGGGTAATTTTTATCTAAGTGGATTTATCTATATCTATATATCTA